CGGGTGGCGTCCGCATCCAGCAGCCGGGCTCGCCTCCACCTGAGTGCCCCTCTACCTCTGTGCCCCTCCAAAGCCTTAATTCATCTCCAACTCCACGTACCTACCCTCTAACCCCCCGACTCACCTCCAGCCCCGTCACCACTGTGCCACTCCCTAGCTCCGAACTCACTCACCACCCCCGCGACCCCTAGCTTTCCGGTCCACCCCCCCACCTGTCCCCACCTCCTCTGTGCCAACCCCCAGCTTCCCGGCTCACCCCAGCTCCGCCCCCACGCCCTCTGTGCCACCCCCAGCTCACTGGCTCACCCTCAGCTCCGAACCCACTGATCCCCACCCCATGTTGCCGGCTCACCCCCATCTCTGTCCCCACCTCCTCTGTGCCACCCCCGCAGCTCACTGGCTCACCCCCAGCCCCGCCTTCACTCCCTCTGTGCCACCCCTTAACGCCCCCTCACTTCCAGCCCGGCTCCAGACTCCCCCCTCACCTGCCAGCGCTCCTCAGCTCCTAGCCTCACCGAGCCCTGCCCTGCCCAGGGGGTGGCCCAGCTTCAGATTGCACGAAGCAGGCTGTTTCAGGGGGTGGGGGTACCGAGGCTCTGGCTCGCAACCGGCGGGACGTCGAGGGGAGGAGGCTTGACTCTAGTCCCAGGACCCCCGGCCCTCCCCGAGGGCGGAATCCAGCCCGCTTCCTGCTACTTCCCACTCGCCGCCGGGAGGGCTGGGGGCCCCGGACCGGAGCAGGTCGCTCCTTGCCGCCGGGAGCGCTGTCCTCAGCACGGCCTTGTGCAGCAGTACCCGCGGCAGTCAGCAAGAACGCCAGGCCCACTTTTGAAACTTCAAAGCACTAGTAAACATGCCTTTCATTCTGGCCATGAACACAAGAGTCAACTCTAAGTGGAAATGTTAGGAAATCAGAGAAAGGGATTAAATCTCGGAAACTATCCATCAACTCAGGCAAAAAAAACCACAAAAAAACCCAAAAAAAAACACGTCGCACACCTCAGAGGAAAAGAGAAAAGAGAGGCTCTGCCCCTCCCAGGAAAAGTAAAAATGACAGGCAGTTATAACCAGATTAGAGATAGAAAAGATCAAGAAGTAAAGGCTACAGCCCAACCGCAGATTAAAAACTAATGCAGTGTATAGATTGGATAACTTTAATGCCCTTTCATTATTGGCTTTAATTATAAAGGGATTTAATTTTCTAAATACATTCAAGGGGATCAAAATTACAAAGTGTTCTCGGCGCTTCAGACACCCAACGTAAAAGAGCCCTGCACTTTGGATTGTTTTGTACCCTTTAATCTACCACCTCCCAGAGCCCACCCCAGAAGCAGTGTCTTTGAAATTGGCACAATATTCTCCCTGGATGGTTGCAACTGGGTAAGACTGATATGAAGAAGCTTTAGTGCAGGCGGTGTGATTGACAGCACCCAGGCTTCCCACCCCACCCACTGCCCAGAATTTTCTGCCTCTTCACTGTGCCTCACCTCCCACTAATTACCTAGTCACATTTCTGGATGTCAGGTATTTATTCATTCACTTATGTAAACGGTGGGTGTCTTCAGAAGAGTGACCAGTCTGCCTGTGTGGGAGTAAGGGAAAGGAAGGGGTGGGAAGCATTTTGACATTTGGTTCACACCTTAGCAGGAATTTCTTTTCTTTTTTTTTTTTTTTTTTGTTTTGAGACAGAGTCTCCCTCTGTCACTCAAACTGGAGTGCAGTGGCACGATCTCGGCTCACTGCAACCTCTGCCTCCAGGGTTCAAGCAATTCTCCTGTCTCCGCCTCCCAAGTAACTGGAATTACAGGCACATGCCACCATGCCCGACCAATTTTTGTATTTTTAGTAGAAATGGGGTTTCACAGTGTTGGCAAGGCTGGTCTTGAACTCCTGACCTCAGGTGACCCACCCACCTCGGCCTCCCAAAGTGATTACAGCTGTGAGCCACTGCGCCCAGCCTGCATGAATTTCTTTAATTTCATTGGTCACGTTGCAGTCTTGCCTGCAGTAATCACTCAAGGTGGGTGATAGGAGGTTCAGCTATGTGATGGTGAAATAAGAAAAGAAATCACTTTGAAGTATCGTGGCACTGAAATCATTTTAAAGCACATACATCAGAGAATTATGGATTGCAGAAGGAAAAGAAGGTTAGGGTCAGCAAGACAGCAGCATGAGGTCTGTGGTGCCAGGACTCGAGAAAAGAGACATAACTTAGACAATGCCAACCTTACCATTTTTTTTTTCTTTTTTGAGACGGAGTCTCACTCTGTCACCCAAGCTGGAGTGCAGTGGTACGATCATGGCTCACTGCAACCTCCATCTCCCGGGTTTAAGCAATTCTCTGCCTCAGCCTCCCAAGTAGCTGGGATTACAGGCGCCTGCCACCACACCCAGCTAATTTTTGTATTTTTAGTAGAGACGGGGTTTCACCATCTTGGCCAGGCTGGTCTTGAACTCCTGACCTTGTGATCTACCCGCCTTGGCCTCCCAAAGTGCTGGGCTTACAAACATGAGCCACCATGCCCGGCCAGCCTTACCATTTTAAAGGCAGGCTCTGCGTTCTGGCCTATACTCAGTGAGGTGAGCGTATTGAAATCAGTATCAACAAATAACATCCCGGGGTGAGGAGAAGTTTCTACAGAATTTCTGTGGTGCTAGTGAAGACATTATTTGTATAAACCTGAAACTATTATGCAACAAATATTTTGACATCCTTGGGGAGTGTTAGTGTCTGTTTATTCAAACGCCAATATAAAGTAGCTTTTAAAGTTCATGCTTATAATGGGAGAGAAGTAATAAATAACTTCGGACAATGTGTTTTTTTGCGTTAAGCCACTGAAACATTACCTTAGTCCATTTAGGCTGCTATAACAAAACACCTGAGACTGGATAATGTATAAAGAACAGAAATGTATTGCTCACAGTTTTGGAGGCTGAAAGTCCAAGATCAAGGCACCAGCTGCTGTGGTGTCTGCTGAGAGCTCATTCCTCATAGATTTCACCTTCTGGGTGTCCTCACATTGCAGAAGGGGCCAGGGAGCACCCTCAAGCCTCTTTTACAAGGGCACTGATTCTGTTGATGAGGGCTTCACCTTCATGACCTAGTCACCTCCCAAAGACCTCACTTCAATACCATCACATGGGGGTTAGGTTTCAACATATGAATTTGGGGCTGGCAGGGGGCACATACATTCAGACTATAGCAAAACATCTGTATTCTGAGTTCAAATCAGAGTGAGGCTTCATCATCACCCATGACGCTAAATCAGTCTTTTCTGTTTTTTGTTGTTGTTCACGGGCTCTTGGAAATCAGAAAACACAAACTTCTAATCCAGTACTCTATTCACTAACCCACGTCTTTTCTTAGACTTTTTCAATCAAGGTTAGGGACCTGGGCCTTGGAGCACAAGCCTCAGAGTCACCAGTGTCCAATGACACTGGGTAGATCTAAAGCTAGATTTATCAGTCTTTCTAGCCGGTACTCAACTTACCTATGAATTTCCAGGCATTTACTTAGAGATATTCTCGTGTGCCTCCATTCTGACCTTCTATTAACCCAGCCACTAGATTCCTCCCCACCTCTAATCTCTGCCCACTTGTTGTTTGCTTTCAGGAACTCTACAGTCTTTGTGTGTTTTATTTATTTATTTTTATCATTCTAAAAGTTTAATAACTTAGGTTGTTAATAGACTAGAAGGAACCTGAAAAAGACACCAATTGAGCTTGCTTTTTCAAGCTGATGACTTTAAATGCTGCTAACTATAGAGAAGTTTATCTTGCCATTTTTCATTTGTCACAGAACCTAAAACTAGATTACTTTGAGAGCAACTGTACAATGAATTTGGGCTAAATTTTAGCAAATGTATTTATTTCAAGACATAATTTCTTATATTTCAATCATTTCTAAAACAAGTTATAAATTTTAAAGCTTATATAATGCCTCTTAAAGATTTTTGTGTGCAACTATGTGTACATAAAAATGGGAAACTTAGCATTTAATCATAGAGTCCTTTATATAGTTTTTAAATTGTTGCCTTGT